CCCCCGCCCCTCCCAGATCCAGTTTGCGTGCAGCGACGCGCGGCCGTTTGCCGTCGCGCTGATGCTCATGCGCCAGCGCAGCCTGCAGCAGGTCAAGGTGGGCGCCGCGACGCCCCGGCCCGCTGTTCTGCTGCTTCAAGCTGTAGCGTTTTTGTGTTCGATTTGCAGCGCTTTGTGTCTCCATGAGCAGCTACCAAACTCAGTCTGAGACCCCCTTGAGCGAGGACCCCCAACCCAACTCCCACTGTCGCCCATATCAATCGTCGACCGAGTACACATCAGTCCCTGTGGACCTCAACCAAACCTCTTCTATTGTACAACCCACCCCAACCGCACCCAAATCAACCCCCAACCGACCCCCACGCCCTGACCCCGCCCTCACCAGGCCCTGATGGAGCCGCGGGAGCCCATGCCCGCCGCCCTGGAGCGCGTGCGGCGCTGCATCAGGGGCGGCTGCGAGGAGGGGGACGAGGACATCGAGTTTGGCAACGTGGTGGTGTCGCTCAAGGACCCCTACACCTGCTGGTGCGTTGACCGCGTTTGACCGTGTTGACCGCGTTGACTGTGTTGACCGTGCGGGCCACGTTGGGTAGTATGCATGCCTGCGGGTGGGCAGGCAGGCGGGCGCGCAGGAGGGCGCGTGCGCGGGCGCGGGACGTCACGCCTGCGGTGCTGTGTAGCTCGCACACGCGCGTACGGGCAGGGCGCGCGGCGCCGGTGACCTGACATCCTGGCGAAATGATCTAGGCCGATCGAGCCAGCTGTGCCTGAACTCCCACCTTTGCCCCCTCCTCGCGCCTGCGTCCGACCGCACGGCTACCCTCCCCTCGTGTGCACGCGTGCGCGCGCAGCCGCGTGGCCGTCCCGGCGCGCTTTTGCGACGCGGGGGTGGGGCTGGAGCCGTTTGACCTGGAGCCGTTCCTCGACACCGCCCGCCGCACGCGCAAGTGGACGGACCCCCACACCATGCGCCACAGCTGCGTGCAGAGCCTGCAGGTTGGGCCGCGGGGCCGCGCTGCGGGGCGCAGCCTGCGTGCGGGAGCGTGAGGGGCCGCGGGGCGGCGGGGTCGCGGGGCTGCGGGGCCGCGGCGCGGACGGAGTGCACGCGGGAGCGCGGGTCACACGGGTTGACTGTTCCCACGTGCTCAGCAAAGGCTGGGGCGCGCCGGCGAGCGGGACAAAACCACTGCGGGCGCCAGCCTGTGCCAAGGCGCCGCACTTCGCCGGCGTCCTGCTCTTGAGGCGCCGGCCTCGTCCGCTGCCCATTTGTGCAACCGCATCGCATCCAATTCCAGCGCCGGCTTCGCACAGCTTGAAACGAAGGAACCCGCTGCCAAGCGCCGCCACAACCGCCGTCGCAACCGCCGCGCAACCGCCAGGTCGACGCCTACCTGGAGCACGTGCTGACTCAGCTGCCGCCGAGCGTTATGGAAATCGAGGTTGACCCCCGGGGGCGGTGGCGGCCGGCAAACACAAAGGGGCCCTTTGCTTCCGTACTGCCTGGGGACGACACCGACGCTGACGAGGCGCGGCACGTCAGCGACGCCGCCGCCGCCGCCGCGGCGGCCGGCGGCAGCGGCGAGACGCGCGGGAGCGGCAGCGGCGGCGCGGGCGCGGGGGCGGGCGCGGGC